GGCGGCGAGGAGAAAGCCTCGCGGGCCGCGACGGAAAGGCGCGGCGGGCCGGAGCGCAGGGAGGGGGCGCAGGCGCGGCGGGGCCGCCCGCCGCCCGCCGAGCTCGGCGCGAAGATGAGCTTGTTGTCAGCCATCGACACGAGCGCCGCGTCCGTCTACCAGCCCGCCCAGCTCCTCAACTGGGTCTATCTGTCGCTGCAAGACACGCACCAGGCCAGCGCCTTCGATGCCTTCCGCCCCGAGCCCTCCTCGTCCCAGCACGCCGAGCTCGGCTACACCAAGAGCGCGCCCGAGCTGGGCTCCTCGCTCAGCTCCAGCTATCTCAACAGCTTCTTCCAGCTGCAGCGCGGCGAGGTGAGTGCGCCGCGCTCCGCTCCGCTCCGCGCCGCTCCCCCCGCGCCACGAGGCCCGCGACGCGGCTCCGCGCGGCCGCTGGGGCCGTCGGGCGCCGCCGCGGGACGGGCACGGGCGAAGCCGCCCTCCTCCTCCGCCGCCGCCGCCGCCGCCTCCCCGGGCGCCGCCGCTCACTCCCCGGTCAGTGGTTTGCACGGATTGCGGAGCGCGGCGGCACCGGGAGGCGCCACCTCGGCCGTATAAAGAGGAGAAAAAGGAGGTGAAAGCACCACAGGCAGTCGTGGGAGATGTTAGGAGACGGTAAAATAAAGATTAGATATAAGGGAGAATGGTATTAGAAAGGACACTTGAGCCCTTCCCGAGCGGAAGGGGTGGAAGGCGCCGCTTAGCAAAGGGAGACCAAAGGCTGGCACCGGTGCAAAAGGAGAGGTATGGGCAGGGACGTGACAAAAATATCCATCCAAAAGGCTTTGCACACGGCATTTCGTAACGCAACAACGCGACCAAATGAAACCAAAAGGAAGGAAACCAAGAACTATGGAGTTGGCCAAGCCAGTTCACCGCGCGGCGCCCGCGCACGGGAAGTTGTTGAGGTCAAGCACTTGTGCCGCCGGGGGCCCTAGTCGTGCGGGGCCACCCGCCTCGCTCCCCGGGGCGTCCCACTGCCGTCCCCGCCACGGGACGCATGTCACCCTGGTGAGGAGAGGGCCCTGGGCAGCGGGGCCGTGTCCCTGACCTGCGCAGCGCCCCTTCCCTCTCCTGCCTCACCACCCAACCCAGAACATACGGCTGCAAGGCATTCTCAAAATACATAGTTTTCTCCTGACATGCTATAGAATTGTTAATTACAAACAAATTGGTTTTCCCTACATTTATGATGTTAAAACTGCTAATGAAGGACCACACATTGTACATATACACACACATTCTTTTTTCTTATTGGGAAATTTTCTTAAGACTTTTGCAAAAGAAGTTTAGACTCAAAACAGCCACTGTTTTTGCAAGTATATAAGTCAAAATCCATCCAGTGTGATCTACCCAGCCTTATTAAACATAACAAGCACATCAATTTTGCCAAAAAGGCCAACAGTCAGTAAAAACCAAACCTCTAGCTACGTACCTACTGAGTCCAAGTTGTAGCTTTGCCACTCTGCACCTGGCTCGGGAGCTTCTTGGCTTCCAAGTCCTGATAAGAATCCAGGATTTTGGCGTACACGGACTCTTTCCAGATCAAGACTAGGTTGCTCTGTTAGGTCTGGGTTTGGCAGAGTCAGCATACGTTCCACTCAGCATCTGTCCTTTTTCTTCCTGGGAGAAAAGGAAAAATGAAAAGTAATGGAGGAGGTCCAGGAGATCCTTGACATCATCCCTCAGAAGCAGTTTTCTTTTTTTTTCCCCCCCCTTAAAGTTTCTGTTAAGTTCACTTTCTGCTTCTCCAACACCACTTGCAAATAGAGGCTCAGTCTTTCAACTCTCTCCCTTTCCACTTGGCTCACATTTCTATTTTTTCCCTTGTGGTCCCAAACAATTTTTTTTTCCTTTTTTTTTTTTTTTTTTTTTTTTCCCTCTCTGCTAAATTTTTTCCCTTGGCATGTTAGGCCTTCCCAGACTGCTGCTTTAGCTAAATATTCAAACCCCTGAGTGGCCACCCCACTCAAGGTGCTCATTTCTGATGGGATCAGCTAGCTTAGCTGCATTTCTGTGTAGATTCCTATCAATTTATGAAGCACATGGGTGCAAAATTATACTACTTTCATTAACTTCATTACAATTTCCTGAAGCATATATGTCACAACAAACAGGAATGCCAGTGCTATGGAAAGTGTAAAGCATTCACTGTTCAAGAGGAGCTAAAGAGTCATTTGATTCTGTACAGACATTTTAGCTTTTCTTAAAAGAGAAACTTCTCAGCCATTTGTTCAAGTCAGTTTTCCAGCCTGAGAGAACAGTAGCAGTGAGTGTGTGGCTGGTCAGAGGCACCTTTTTACATTTTCAGACTTTTTATGTACTACACTTTCAGAGATTGCACTTACGAAGGGTAATCCAAAAAGAAAAAAGGGAGCTCTGCCATCTTATGTGACACGAGAATGCATTTGCAGCACTGGATAACTCTGAGCAAAGTAGGGAGCTGTTTAGTTCCTCCGCTTACACCGCCTGCTCAAACAGAAACTTTCATTCAAGAGTTTAGAAGGTGTTAGAGATACTGCTGCTCAGAAAACGTTCTGTCAATATATTAGATGCTCTGTTCTTTCCAGAAACTAGACTGCTTTTTGGCAGGAGTCACCCAAGAGACTTTCCTGCAATGTCATGCTCTTAATTCTTGAAATTCTAACATCTGTTTATTTGCAGATGCCATTCAGTATACACTAAATATTTGGATTGTGCAAAATTATTTTGGGGAGCAACAGTGCTGCCTGCTGCTTTTGCATCCAGTGGGCTTATGCTATCTTTGGAACATGCATAGCTTTCCACAGCTAAACTGTTGACTCTTTTCTACACAGTGCTTGCTTTGGTTGGCGTTTTTTTTCCTCCTGGTTTTGTCCTGGGTTGGCTTAGCTTGGAGCTGAGCTGTGACAATGATTGACACATAGCTGTACCCAATTTTTGGAAAGTGACCTAATGAGAGGCCAAAATAGCAACAGATTAAGAAGCGATAGGATCATAGGGTATAAAATAACCATGTGTCCTGTGCGTTGCCTTGCAATTGAAATTTTCTGGAGGAGATGGCTTGGAATAGGAGACAGCACTTGTGAAAAGTTGCTATTATCCAGGCTTTGCCAGTCTGCATGGTAGTGCCTGTGTATGTGACTTGCATGCTGACCAAGGAAATTGGACAGGGAAAAAATAGTCCAGCACCCACAAATAGCCTTGCACTTAACCAAGATTTTTGTCCTCCAGACTTTTTCCACTACAATGGACGCCTTCTAAATAAACATGATGAACACAGCTGTTTGGTGCATAAAAGCCCATTGTACCAGGAAAAAAAAAAATGGCAATCATAAAGGTTTAAACAGTACAGCAACAATGAATGTTTTGTTCCATATGCAAGACTCATTTTGCAGAATGGACCTGCTTTAAATAAAACTTTACTGCTGCATTTATTACCCTAGATATGAAACGAAAGCATGTTAGAACATTAAGATGCATTAAATCGGCTATTGAACTGAACTCCACCCTCATTATGACGCCGTCCTTCAGAGCCAAGTATTTGAGGTTTTGTTGTGGGGCTGCTTACATGGGATTTAATGTATTTGAGACATAGCCAGGTAACTGTGGCTTTGTGTCATTGAGTAGTATGATTGAGAAACCCAGAATAAACTTGGAGTAGCATAGCAGAGTCATACAGTATTTTTCTGTACTCAGAATAGGCTTCCTACTAGGCTTCCCAATGACCTTTTCTTTGGTCAAGAGGAGATGGCCATCAATAAATAGAAGTTACCACATAATATGGTATCAGAATTGAAAGTAGACTTCTAATACCGCTCAGGACAATATTTACAAGCAAAAGGAGCCCATCAATTCTTTGCCAATGTACAGTTGTCAGCTTATCATTTCCAGAGGGCAGTTCCTTCCAGAAATCTCTACAGTAGCCACTTCCTGGAGCTGAAGCAGTCTTATTTTAGCATGAATAACTTTAGAAATGGGTCTAATCAGTAGCACATGTGGAGTAGCTGCTATGTTTGACTTGGGGACTTCTAGAATATGCTTTAACAGGGCACTCGGGATGGTTCTAGGGCAAATAAAACAGAGATGAGCATTAGCAGATATTGCCTGTGCTCTGAAGTATTTCTGATCCCCCTCATTTTCTGTGCTAAATTCATTATTACTTATCACTCATGATCCACAAAGTTTAATATACTAAGCATCTCAGTCAGGACTTACTGCTTCTCCGTTACAGAAGAAATGATCACAATTACTTCCTCTTAAGAGTAAAGATTGACAGCAAAAGTCAGTATAGAATTTAGGTTGCCTGTAGCACATGAAGACATCTTAAAATATATGTTTTCAATATTTTAGTTTCTACAGTTACTTATTCTTCAGGAAAATGCAAGATTAGCCTTTAGCAGAGACATAGGGTGACTTGGAGTGTGCAGCATCTTATGCGTTTCACAGGACTGAGCAACAGGACATCCTCCTTGCACAAAGGCCACGTCAAGGCAGTTGCTACTGGTGTCCCCTGCCCTTCTCCAAAGAATCTTTGGAGCTTAGCTGAGAACACAGAGCCATTTGCCAAGGTGAAGCAGTATAAACGGGAAAAGTAAAGTTATTAAAAACTTTTTTTCTTAAAAGAAAAAAAGTTTGCAAACAGAATTTAGCAACTTTTTTGGACCTCCTCTTTGGTTGCTTAGCCTAAGATTTGTGTGCTGTGAAATAGTTAAGTATTTCATCATGACAGCTATCTATAAATTACTCTTTTACTGCATCCTTTAATAATAGCAATTATTATTAGATTAATTTCCACTTTTTTTTTTTCTCATTCTTATTCACGTAAGCAATAGTGTTTTAGAGCCCTGCCCCTACTACAGTTTTCTGGAAAGGCAGTAGTTCAACAGTTTGAGCAACTTCTGTACTCTGACTCATTTGAGAACAATTTGGGATAACTGGACACATACAATACACTTTTTGTAGCTATTTAAAGCTCCAGTAAACACATTTCCAATTGCTTTTCAAGGAGTTAAATCACAATTCAGGTATATTCTCCCTTCTGCCTCGTGCCCCTGCATAGATATTTTCTTGTGGTTCTACAAGTAACATTTACAAGAGAAAAAGAACAACACACACAGCCTCCCCTTTCCTTGTCAGAGCAGTGTGAAAACTGGCTACAAGTGAAAGAATGAAACTAGCACGATGCTGCTAAACACATAAAGCCATCAAGCTCCAAAAGTAATTGCTTTTTAATCACTGTCAGTTCCAGGACATCTTCCCGCTACTGCTAACAGTAATAGCTGTGGGCAAAAAAGATCCAAGGGAGAAGTGCATTTACAGCAGAGAGCTTCCCC